TATATATATATAAAACTGAGTTCTAAATTTAATATGTGTACATATTCAATAAATTTTTTAAATATAAATACATTATTTTTTTTTAGGTAATTAACCATCTTTGTATTAACCACCAACGTAAATATTTACAAAGTATTGTAGATCACCACGACCAACTTCAAGACTGGAAAAAAATATCTCAATCTGACCTTCAAGGTCTCCTAACCTCATTTATACAAATACTCTCACGTTTTATATCTACTCAGTATTTATATTTTGCAAGTAAGACTCGCGTATAGCCCTCAGCTCTAGTATTGCACATGCAAACCACTCTTCTAGCAAGGACATCCCATGTAGTTGCTTGCTTCTCAAAGATCTTTGAGTTTCTCTCAATCCACATTGTGTGAGTATATTCTGCATAAATACATTATTTGAGCACAAAGAATATCGACTTTATATATCTATGTTTAACCAGAAAATAGGAATTTCGGTCAAAGCTTAATTTTAGAAGTACTCGGGTTACTAATAATCAAGAAAAGGAATATTTTTGCGATGAGAAAGTAAAACTAGAGTTTGAAATAGCAAAGCAATCAATACAAAGCAAGAGTAAATAAGTGTATTCCAATAATAATTAATCAGAACGTATCCATACAAATGACATTTTACTTCCTTTTATAGCTACTTCTAGGTACAATGCCTCTTCCTTCTCATAATCGAGTCATTATGAGCATTTAATGACATTAATGAAACGTTATAATTGGTAATCGTAACTGTTTCGTGAAGATTCTGTAAAGTTTCTAATCATTCACGCTCATTAATTGAAGATTAACGAATCTGTACTTTTTGCTGTCTTGATTCACTCCACTGGTGTCTCTTCAAATTACGAAGAGGCTCGAGCAACCGTTTCTTCTTGTCTTTTAGACGTTTTGCTCGTACCTATTAAGACTCGCATCTCTTTAAGTACTCTTCTCCAGCTGTCACTTTTCTAATGATCCACGTGTCTTGCCATGTCAACCACATAATTAATTCCACGTATAATATTTATTTTCCCCAATACAGATAGTCCCCCTACTTGCCAATTATTCGGTAGTTGAATATTTGGGAAGTGGATCATTTTTCTTATGCGGGAATTTTTGTCGCCGTTTCCCACGTACCATTATACCTTCTTCTGAACTGATGCATCGCATGTCACTTCCATTAAATGCTTGTGACACGTGGTAGTCATCAATTGGCTCTGCAACTCCGCAGCGGGTTTTAGGGCTTTTATGCTGCTGCTCCAGTCACGAAGTGACAGTTTTCATTCTGACGTTTCCGTCATTACCTTTTTTGTATAACGGTTGCTTCTGCATATAAATACATCTTTTGCCTTGACTTTCACCAAAAAACTTTCTTTAGTGTCCCTTATTCACATCTTATTCTCGTTTGATGGTTTTCAATGTCTTTGCCTTATGTTTTGATGATCTAACAGACTTGCTGTCAAGAACCGGATAAGAAACCTGACACACTTGGGCTACATTGCAAATCAACGGAGTCCATCTAAATGTGAACTGCTATAGCTTCAGAAGATAGAGAACCAGACAAGGACCTGATATCCTTGCGCGTCACTCATAGCAGTACGAGGTCAGTTGGATACAGCTGGAAGCAACGTGACTGCCTGCTTTTTTTGCTGCCTGCACTGCACTGTTTCCAGCGGTCATTTGTCCTTGACCAACTAAGTGCATACATCATTCAACTGATGTCATAAAGGTGTATTAACAAGAAGATTATATCAAGACATCACTTGAACACTTGAATTTTTACTTCAAGCATTCAAGACTGATAAGTTACAAGTACTTTGGGCATAAGTATTTTACTTTATATTTTGATGATCTAACAAACTTACCATCCCGAACCAGATAAGGAACCTGTTACACATTTACAAGACCTTAAGATCACAAAGTTCCAGGTTGGGATCCAGCGTAGGATATAACACAACTCTTCAGAGTGGAAGGAACAATTGAGGGAACAAGTCCCTGCCGGTTCCCGAGGAGACTGTATGAAAGCAACTCTCCAGCTGGAAAGTTGCTGCCTGCACACGCTACTGTACAGGAACAGTGCATCAGTCAACTTACTGTGGAAGGCTTTTTACCTACCTTGCTTACATCATTGTAAGTGATGTCACACATGTATAAATATAATCAAGGAAGGTAAAGCAACTTACTTCATGAGTGAACATAATAAGGAATCTGATACAATTAAGTTCCCTTGCATTCCGAATAACTAGTCAGATGTCTGGTCCAATTCTTAATGAAACCAGATAAGGAAACAGCAGAGGGACCAGATAAGGATCAGTTTCCCTCGTCGTTGTACAGTCAACTCTACAGCTGTAAAAGCTGCTGCACTGTACCGTCTGGCAGACTGCTGCACTGTACCGTCTGGTAGCAATACAGCAGCACAGCTGTAGCTTGCTAAGGCCAAACTAAAGGGCACTTTATTGCATCTTCCTTGATGACCTCACATACAAATATTATCAACACGAGGCAAGGGATTTTATCTTTCTAACACTTGCAAAATCAAAAGAAATATTCTCTCAAGTGCTAGCCACAACCTCTCTCAAGAACAAAGCTGCTGCAACCTCAAGGACCAGATCCAAAGAGTGAAGATATCTTAAGTCCTTAGATTTGTTGAGTCTTTGTTATTTGTTCTTCATTTGTAACTCCTACTTAGCTTAGTTAGAAGCATTGTGTAGGAACCCCTTTGTAAAACCATAAACTTTCTGAGTTTGTGTTGTGACTAGAGTTAGTCATAAGTTGAAGTCTTTGTAACTAGTGAGTGACAAAGTGGCTTGTGGTAAGTGCATCACAAGTTAGTTGAGTTGAAGTCAAAGTGGCTTGTGGTAAATGTATCACAAGTTAGTTGAGTTGAAGTCTTTGTAACTAGTGAGTGACAAAGTGGCTTGTGGTAAGTGTATCACAAGTTAGTTGAGTTGAAGTCTTTGTAATAGAGTCATTACAAAGTGGCTTCTAATAGTGTGTTTACAAGTTAGTGAAGTTGAAAGCCTACAAGTGTAGGTCGTGGTTTTTGTCCCCTTGAGTTGTGATTTTTCCACGTAAAAATCCTCTGTGTTCTTTATTTACTGCCGAGTTACTGTGGGAACAATTAGAGAACCTGATTTCCTATACTGGTTGGTTTTACAGTCTGTTGCTTATAGTGGGAACTGATAGAGAATCTGGTTCTCTATACAGTCTGGTGGACGCTTAGTTTCTATCAATTGGTATTAGAGCAGGTTCTTTCTAAAAGGTTGACGCCTAGAAAGGATCTACATGGATGCTCTACCAGACTTTGAGGAAGGTCGATCAACCTACATGCTACCAAGATTTCAGAAAATGGTTAGTAGAAATGGAGGCATTCCCAAGAAGGGTAGCTCTAGCAGAAACACTAAAGGATACGATTGTTGTCACAAGTGCAGAAAACCATGACATTTTATCAAAGATTGTCCTCTCTACAATCAGGTCCATTGCAAACACAATGCTGACAAGGTGGGTAAGAGGAACCTGGTCCCCGACAGAAAGTTCAAGAGAAGAGATGTCGCTGATAATATTGTAAAGCAAGCTCTGGCTGCCTGGGGAGATTACTCTAGTGAATCTGAGGGTGATAATGAAAAGGAAGACACCTCCATGATGGCCGTTGAAAGCAAAGCTGCAAAATATGATTCCATATTTGCATTGATGGCAAAATCTGATGAGGATGAAGAAGATGATGGTGATGAGGTAAACTTTCTGGACGTACAAAGAAATTTGAAGTTTTATTCTAAAAAGAAGCTGGTATCCTAGGCTAATATTTTAATTGATGCTTATCACAGTCTTATAAATGATAAAGATTCTTTAACTGTGGAGTTAGGAGAAGCAGAACAGACCAGAGATGACCTAGTAGTCGCTGTAGTTGATTTAAAAGGAAACGATTGAGAACCTGAAGAAAGATAAGGATGCCTTAGATGAAAAAATTGCAAATGTAGACCTAAAAAAGACCATTGAGAGTGTAAGTAGGGAAAAAGCAGTCTTAACAGAGAGAGAGTTGCTAGCATTGAGCATGAGAGAGATGACCTACTAGTGGTGGTATTGGACTTAAAGGAAACAATTAGAGAACTTAAAATGGAGAGCAGGCCTGAAAATTCTCAAAAAGGAAAGAAAGTTGCAAGTGAGGCATACATTAAGCTTGAAAGTGAGTTAAATTCAGTGAAGTCTAGTCTGTGTGCTGAGCTTGAGAAAAACAAACAACTTCAGGAAGAACTAGGTAGAGTGAAGAGTGATCTTGAAAAATTACTCAAGTAGACTTGGTCCTCTAATGCTATCACTGCCTTGTACACAAACAATGGGGGAAACAGGCAGGGAATCGGGTTTCAATGGTAAAAGAATCCCTACAACCCTCATAG